AACAAATGTATAGATGTGCTTTACACAATTGATCTATGTATTGTGATGAATTGTATGAGCTCCAATAATTTGATTTTTTAAAAAATAGGTCGTACTAATTTTTTTAAATGAAAGGAGTCAAAACAGGGAGGTGAATTTGAAACTAGTGATGATACTCTGGAGAGAGACGATGGCAGCATGGAGTAGCATGCAGAAAGTGTAAATAGAGATGTTCATACATTTAAGTTATATTAGTAGTCCCATAATTTATGACAAGCTTCCATTTCTATAACTCATTTGTAAATCTGTTCTGATATGTCAAATACACTGGCTTTTTATTTTCATTGTTGTTTTATTTTTGTTTTCAGTATTATTTTCTGTTATTTGGAGCATCTTTGTATGTAAAATATTTATTTGTCCTTGGAAGTTAGAGTAAGAATGACAATATTAGTAAATTACAAGCTGCCACATTGTAGGTAGTATATGCAACAATAATGAGACGTACAAAACAAATGAAAAGACTGGATGATGGTTAAGTGTAGTTTGTTGTAAGTCCAATACTTCATAAGTGGTAACTTGCTTTGTTTCATAAAGTGTCCAGGTCTTGTGGAAATTTGGATGTGATGGGAGAGGTAGAGGAAGGATTACTTCTAATTTCTGCCTTGACCAACTGGTTGGATATTGCTACTATCGAGTTAAACAAGTGCAGGGGTTATGGGAAAAAGACAAGAGTTGCAGTTCGAGTATGTGAAATTTAAGATATCTTTGATATATTCAAGTGGCAATATGAACCAGGCAATTGGATACGTGAATCTGGGGATTAGTCCAAATGTCAGAACTGGAAATACGCATTTTGTATTAACTATGTATATATTTAGAATATCAATATAAAGATCACATTATACATATTCCCACAGAAGGAAGGAAAGGATAGACTAGAAGTCTTACATCTGAATTTTATAAAACATTAATTACTGTTTAATTTAATTACCTTTTATTGTTTTCTTCCCTAACAGAATATAAATTTAGAAATTGGGATTGTCATACGTTGTGTAGCTTAGGTAGGCTAGAAATAGACTTTATATGTGCATGTACATATGAGTGTATGAGTGTAAATGTACAAAAAGAAAGAATTTAAAATCATTGAGTAAGGGAAGAGCTAGTCAATAAATGCATCTGGAACTACCTGCTATTCATAACCAATCAAATTTTAATTCTTCACAACATTCTAAAATGAATTTCACTGAGTTGAAGTGTTATATATAAAAACATGCCATAAAAGAAACAAATTCTATTTATAACATTGTCTGTGAATGAGAGGGTATATACATTTTAAACAGAAAAGATAAAGAGTGAATTGACACAGGACCATTTGTAAACATTCCTTTCTTCATTGCTTTATGGTGCTCTTCTTATTGTATACTGCAATTTACTTATGGATAATATGTCTGTTCCATTGACCCATCTATTTACTCTTGATCTAAAAGTATTTGAATTATGGGAGCAGCATCATATATTTCAATATTTGATATGCAAAGTCTATTTGTTTTTATTGGTAATTATTACAAAAATCTAGAATTCCATAAATTTTGGAATTACTTTTTCTAATTCTCAAAGAAGTCTTCATTTGATGTTTATTTAAATTAAATTAATTTGTAAATTATTTGGAAGATAGGGGCATAAAGACCATATCTCACCTCATGACGTATACAAAATAAATTTCAGGAAGTATCAAAATTCAAATGCAAAAATTCAACTTATCTTAAATGGAGAAAAAGGCAGAAGAAAGAGGAGAAGATGAAGAAAATCAAACAAAAATGGCTAACATAAGACCTCAGGTTAAGGAAAGAAATTCCAAACAAATAAGCATAAAATAAATCAGATTTTTAAGGCAATAAATAAGCTTATGGAAGATTAAAATGTTTATCAAATAAAATTATTACAAATAAATATTGAATGAGTGTCCTCACACTGAGAAAAAATACTTGCTGCAACAATCACAATGTTTTAATCTTTTATCTGTAAACATTATACAAATAAATGAAGAAGAAAAAAAGGATAAGATGAAAGGAAAATGAACAAATTTATATAAGAAATTAAATTGTCCAATAAGCATATAAAATGTTGGATTATATCTGACAAATATTTTGAAATCATAGTCATACATATTTGATAAAAACAGCCTACTGATTTAAAGATTAATATTTATATGACCATTTTTCTTTTCTATGAAGGCATTTTCATAAATTAAAATTAAGTTGTTGTGGAGGATGAAGTTTGCTTAAGAACATTAGAGTTCATCATTATTTTTTTCAGAACACCTATCACCTCCTTATTCCTCAGGCTATATATAAAAGGGTTTAATAAAGGAATTACTATTGTATAAAAAATTGCTACTGGTATATCTTTATCTCCTTCTTCAAATGGTCGGATATACATGAGAAGACAAATGTAGAATATTGAGACAGATAAAAAATGGGATGCACAGGTAGAAAAAGCTTTACCTCTCCCCTCTTTGGATTTCATTCTAAAAATCGTGAAAAGAATGCAGAGATAAGATACTAAAACTGTGGCAATGGTGAAGATTTGAATAGGCATTGAAAAAATATATATCATTAGTTCATTTATAAAAGGATCAGTACAGGATATTCTGTATAATGGAAGAATATCACAAAAAAAGTGATTAATTTGATGAGAACCACAGAAGGTTAACCTTAATAGAAGCCCGACATGAATCATGGAATGCAGATTTCCAGCTACGAAGGCTCCTATGGTCATCTGATAGCAGAGTTGGTTTGACATCATCGTGTGGTACTGCAGTGGACTGCATATGGCCACATAGCGATCATAGGCCATTGCTGCCAGGAGAAAGCAGTCTGTGGTTTCAGCAAGGCAGAGAAAATAAAACTGTGCCATGCATTCATGGAGGGAAATCATTCTATCCTCAGAAAAGAAGTTCTGTAGCATCTTTGGGGCAATGGCAGAGGAGCAGCAGGAATCCATCAGAGCCAGGTTTCCCAGAAAGATGTACATGGGTGTGTGCAGACGGCGCTCCATGGAAATCAACACCACCAACCCAAGATTGCCCACCATGGTGATCAGATAGATGACAAAGAACACCACAAACAGCAGGGTCTTTAGATTGGGGTGATCGGTAAATCCTAAGAGGATAAAGTCAGCTGTCAAGGAGTGATTCTCTTTAACCATTCCTAACATTTCTGCTGAGACAGACCTGTAGACAAATGAAATGATAAATTAGAATGCCACTTCTCTTGTTTACTTTTCTTACCCACAAAAAGAAAAAAAACATTCTTAATCACGCTTTGCTTTCTCATAAAAGCTAGCACACGCGCAGCAGGCCAAGCCATGTGAGGAGAAAAGTGCGGCTGACCGCATAGGTAGAGCTCTTCTGGAATGCCTCTAAGAATGCTCAGGGTGGAAAAGCATTTTCTGCTTCAATTATACAATGTTAGCATATTAACTCATGGTTAGTATAAAAAATCTGGCATTTCCAAAAAAAAAAAAAAAAGACAATTGTCCTATGGTATTTTCCCCCAAGATAAAACAAGTTTCAAACATCGTTTGGAAATAGCTGCTCTTTAGAGATTTCATATGTCAGGTTTTGAGAATTCCATTTATCACAGTGAGTTAAGTATGCCTTCACCTGTAAGCTCACCAATTGATATGTAAAAGGAAGTACACATTCATCCTTCAGGAAAGAATAAGAATATAGGACATCTGATATTTTAACAATAAACTAATTCAATACACATTTTTATATTTATCTTAACACATTTTGTATCATACTCCTAACTTAGTATAACAAATAACCCAAAAAGTTATTACTCTTCTCCAAGGTCATTGTCATCGTTGATTCTGATTCATTAATGACCCCACAGGACAGAGTAGAACTCCACTGTGGTTTTCCAAAACTGTAAATCTTTATGGGAGTAGAAAGCCTCATCTGTCTCCCATGGAGAAGCTAGGGGTTAGAAGAAATGACCTGATGGTTAATAGTTCAAAGCAAAACACTAGATACCCTCCAGAGCTCCTGTTATGATTCATTTATCTTAATGTTTCCCCTCTCTAATTTTAAGTAACTGTCAATGTGTGTACATCATTGTGAGTTTTCATGATGTCTCCTCTCACAATATTCATATTCTTCTTGCTGTTGCTCTCTCAAACATTTATAGAAACTAATGTCCTAATTTTATTGAGAAATCATTTGAAAGTTTCCTGAGTTTCCTGAATGACCAAAGCTTATATACTCATTAACACCACACACACAGAAACCCACTGACAGGAAGTCAATTGCAACCCTTAGCAATTCAACAAGGGTTCCAAGATTGCAAATATTTTAAGGAGCAGATAGCCTCATCTTTCCCTTGCAGAGCAGCTGGTGTTTGAACCACTGACCTTACGGTCAGCAGCCCAAGACCAAACTTACAGCACCAATTCACCTGTATATTAATTGAAATTCAATAATCACTCAAATGTGTTAGCTGTTTATTTATAGTTTAGCAATCTTAAAATTACAATAGTACAGGTGTAGAAGGAGCAAGGATTTTTCCCCAGAATGGTAGAATATATGTGCAAATCTTAGATTTAATGAGCCATCCATATGTGGAATATAGAAATAACTTACAACTATAGGATTTTTTAAAGTCACTAACCGATTTTTAACAAGCAACAGATTTCAACTGGTCCTTTACTTTTCCAGAGAGTGTGTAGATATGGTCAATACATATATGAACAGATGCTTTCAAGATTTTTTTTTAATTAATTCATTTTTAAAACATTTAATTTTGTTTAACTGAAAGTTTGCACAGTTAATTAGTTTTCCATTCAATAATTTACACAGAATATTTTCTGTACATTGATTGCTTAACACACAATGTGTAAACACTTGCCTCATTTTTCCACTCTGGGCTCTTTATTTCCATTGTCCAGTTTCCCTGGTCTTCTCTGCCTTCCAATTTTTGATTTTGGACAAATATACATGCAACATACACATTTAAAGATAGATAGATGATAGATAGATAGATAGATAGATAGATAGATAGATAGATAGATAGATAGATAGATAGAGTTGTTAATGCATTGGGGTGTTAATCACAAGGTCAGCAGTTCAAAGCCACCAGCCAGCTCCATTGGAGAAAGACATGGTTTTCTACTCCCTTAAAGAGTTAACGGTTTCAAAAACTCATGAGGGCAGTTCTACTCTGTCATACAGGATAACTATGAGTTGGCATCGACCTAATGTCAGAAGGTTTGCATACCTAAATATACACAAAAGGATACTCTGTACACTTTCACACACTTGTGTATTCATTCACAAATTATTCTCTGCTGTTTCTCTTATTACAGGATTACATGTGCTACAGTTTTTACCAGATCAGCCAGAAGCATGGATTTTAAAGTGTGATAGAGGCACCCTTATTTTCTTCCAGTACTACTTTCCAAACTGGCTTAAATCTCAGAACTAAAAATATTTGAGATAGACAACTTCTGAGAAAGACCTTATAATGATTACTTAAAGTATAATGTTTTGAATATGCTTTTGTTACTTTTTCTGTTTCTTATCAATATTTATGATGAATCTCAAATATCTATTTTTCTTTTTCCTCATATAATATAGTTAGATTATATGGAGTTTTATGTCTAGAGCCTTGTGATTAAATTAATAAAATAAGTTTATTATTTACATTTTAGGTCCTAACACTAAAAACTTTTTCAAAGGTGTAGTATCTTTGCAAGACTGCAAAAATATTGAAAGGCAGTTTTATATCATTATGTCAGCAACACATAATAGTAAATCAACTAAAAATCTACCTATGCAAATTTGGACAAATGGATTTAGTTTTCAATAATCAAAGTAGTCAATAGAAGGCATTTGCATCGGAATATTGCTGGGTAGAAGCTCAGTTTCTCTTCCCCAATATGCAATGTAAATTATTAAACTAACATTAAGGCAACTTAGAAAAGATTTATTATAAATTAAAAAAAATTTTATAGAGTCATTTATAGACTTACCTTTATATTTGCTGGTGGGCGGGAGGGTGGTGGGGGAGAATGGTATTTTCGAATTTAGAAGTGGTCAGAATTATATACAGTATTATATCTCATCATGACTCTCCATATTTTATTCATTTTTAGAAAATCCAAGTGTAAAAAATGTAAAAACAATGAAAACTATAGTACTATAAAGTAATTAGCACTTTAAGATAAATAAATTATAAATCCATTCCCATCTTCTTCTTTCACTGGCAAAAATCTTACATGAACTGGTTATTCACCTGATTTTATTTGCTTTAAGGAAAGTACAGTATACAAACCTTGGGCATTAAAACATTTGGGAATAAATTATGTACTTCAAGACACGCTCTCTACCAATAGGTCAGTGACAATAATCATGCAATTAGCCTCAAGGCATAGTAAATTTTCCCCATAGATTCTAAAGGGAATTTCTTGGCATTAGTATATTTCTGCAGAGGCGCCAAACCTGAGAGACATGGTTCCCAAAACACAAATAAACCCAACAGCACCGATTAGAGATGATGCCCAGATGAGTGAGTTTGAACCACCAACCTTTGGGTTACCAGCCAACTGTTTATCCATTACACTAGAAGGCCTCCTGTAGTCTCTGGTGTAAGTACTCCAAAAAGACAGAGGATAATTTAGTGGGATCCCCTTGGCCAAATACAGAATCATTTGAGCTTTAAAGACATAATTGCTGTAATAGATTAAAGCACACCAAATTTATTAATATTAGAGAGTTCGTAAGTATATCCTTGCCAAACTCACAAGCAAACACACACAAAACGTCATTGATCACCTCAGTAAGTTGCTAGAGCAACTTAGTAAGCTGCCTGAAAAATAGATAAATAAAGGGAAATAATCAAGAATTTTTTCTGCCTCTTCTTTATGGGCCACATTTCAGAATAACCCAAATTTGAGGAAGGTTGTTTTGTTTTGTTCTTTTAAGAGTTATAACTAATTATTCAAAATTCTACAGTGATAAAATACCCACTTTAGAATCCTTGATGAAATAATAGATAATAAGCCAAAATCATTGCCCGTAAGAGTAATGAGCAACTCAATAATCAGTGACAGAGACTGGCATTCCCTAGAAAGAGTCTGAAATTAATGTCATGAAAAGTGAGTCAATTCAGAATTGTGTCCTTTTTGATTTCACACAATAGTATGTGCACAACCTGCTCCCTAAAATACAAATATCCCAAGTTTAATTATGCATATAGTTAACATTGTCTATCACTTTGCAGGTGTCATAGAGGTATGATCAAGCCATATCCACAATGTAGGGGAAAATACTATACAGGACAAATGAATAAGCTTATTCATCAGATACATGACATAAAAAGGAGATGGAGGAGGACATTTATTACAGATTTTTTATCATGATAGCATTCAAATGTAATGGGTATACCTGGTTTCAATTCTGATTCCAACAAAGAAACCACAAAATGAGATTTCTAAAAGACAAATTGGTAATACTGAATTAGACTGATTCAATATTAATATTCTTTAATATTATATTAAATATTATAATTGTTTAATATTATATTTAAAATATTCACTCAAAAAATTCAAACCATTGAATTGATTCTGACTCATACTATTATTAATTTTGCTGAATAATATAAACACAGTAGTTGGATTAAAAAAAGGACTTTTTTGTTAGTGTTACATGAATAAAAACATTAATAAAAATGTGATAATCTATTTTATTTAGTTTTCACAATTTAATCATAGCTATCACTACAGAAATTAGTAACTTTATCCAATGACATCAACTCAAACAAAAATGTGTTGAGACATAATGTTGTGTGAATAAATTTATTTTTGCCAAAATGATAGCAAAAATTTAATGGATCATAGCACATGATTTAAATACATTATAAGAACATCTTTATAATTTAAAATAAATGAAATTGTGATCGCAAAATCTAATTTGGCTAATAAGTCATTGTTAAAGTAAACACGAAGATTGTGAAATTTGTCAGGAGTTTGGGGATATAAATAGTATTCCTAAATGTAATACATTTCTTTGTGTAATTTTTAGAGAGCTATTTGCCAGTGGGGACCTATAAGAATAAAACTGTAAAGCTATTCAAAATAGTTGAAAGTTTAAGTTATGTTTATAAGTCAATAATCAATATATTCATGATTACAATGGATAATTTTAAGTATTTTAGGCTGTGCTT